CCCCAAAACCCCAAAACCCCAAAACCCCAATATCAAGAATATCAACAAAGTGAGAGTTTTATTGAAAATAAATAAAATTTTAATTACTGTTCAGGAGTTAAAAATATAATTTAGGGTAAAAAAATGGGTAATTCGTGCGCATGCATCAAGGATGCGAACTAGAATGAAGTAGAGTCAATCATAAATCATACAGATAAGATCCTGGTCGTAATAAAAATTCAAAAAGCCATTAGAGGATATCTTGCTAGAAAAAAGACTAATCAGTTAAAACATTAGAAGTTTTAAAAGTTTGGTGGAGATTTCTAGAAGAAAAATCATCAAGGGAAAAGTTATAGTGCTTATCCAGATTAAAATCAAGGCAGTTACTTGAATGATAGCAATATGAATATGGATAACCTTCTAGTCAAGGTATTTAATTAGCAATTCATAATTTATTTAGTAAATTGCAGAGAAAGTAGGTCCATTTGAATATGATAAAGATTTGAAAGAGAATCCACTCAGAGAATATCGACCTCCCTTTTTTCTGCAAAATGGGGCAAAATATAAAGGACAGTGGAATGTTAGAACTAATGAAAGAGAAGGTAGAGGAGTATAAATATGGATGGATGGTAGTTTATACGAGGGGTAATGGAGAGACGATAAAGCGAATGGAAATGGAAGACTTATTCATGCAGATGGCGATGTCTATCTAGGTAATTGGGTTGAAGACAAGGCAGAGGGATACGGTGTCTACACGCATTTAGACGGAGCTAGATATCAAGGATTTTGGAAAGAAGATAAATAGCATGGCAAGGGCTAAGAGACATGGCCTGATTCAGCTTAGTATGAAGGCGATTATATAAATGGTAAGAAGCATGGACTAGGCATATTCAAATGGGCAGACGGAGCGATGTATAATGGAGAATTTTTCGATAATAATATTCATGGGAAGGGAGTTTATTAATGGGCTGATGGAAGAGAGTACCATGGTGATTGGAGAGAAAATAAGATGCATGGCAAAGGTGTATTCAAGTGGTCTGATGGTAGGAGATATGAAGGGTAATATATTGATGATAAAAAAGAGGGCTATGGAACATTTGAATGGCCAGATGGTAAGAAGTACATAGGACAGTGGTTAAATGGAAAATAACATGGAAAAGGTACATTTGTCACCCCTAATGGCCAGAGGAGAGAGGGCATTTGGAAAGATGGCAAAAGAGAGTCTTGGGTTGGAGAGGAGGAATACTAGCAATAGTGAGAGATAATTATTCAAATTAGTACCATATATAGACAAATATAACAGAATCACTTCGCCACTCATAAATTTTTAATCTTTTTAAGTGAGCGTAGCTAGATTCTTAAGTTGTATTAATTTAACTTAAATTTTAATAAGCAATTTAAGCCATGAATTAAATTATGACTAATTAAATAATTAAAGTATTAGAATTTTAATGTAGAATCTGAGGAAAAACATATACAGATCTCTGTCGCTAGCTTCAAAGCCTTCCAGGTCTATCCACATCATAAATCAAGCTCGCAAAAGAGTCTAGATTTAGCAGCAAGCAAGGCCTAAGCTATTGGTTTAGAGTTAGTGTAGAGCTTTCTTCAACAAGCAGGAGCCAATTGATTTCGATCCAAAGAAGGATTACTACAAGGTTCTAGAAGTAAAGGAGACAGCTTCGTAAAGCGAGATCAAGAATGCCTACTATAGACTGTGCTAGTACTACCATCCAGATAGGAATAATGGCTAGTTCCAAGATAAGTTCAAGGACATCACAAGTGCATACTAGGTAGTTGGAGAAGAGAAAAAGAGAAAGAGGTACGATGCGCTTAGAATGGGACAACCTGATCCTGCCTAGACTGGAGGGTTTAATTGGAATAACGCAGCTAGGGGACAGCCAGGAGCAGGGTTTGATTAGGAAAAGATTAAAAGGGATATGGAGAACTTCTGGAAGTAGTTCAATCAAGGATTTTCTAAATTTAAGAAAGATTTCAATGATAGAGCAAGCAAAGGAGCTCCGAATTACTCTTAGTATACAAGCAAATACTCTCAGTTCTTCAAAAACAACTTTAAGCAGGCTTCTGGGAAGCAGATGAACCTCAATGACAAGAAAAAACTAGTTCATGGATTATTTTTGGTATTTGGAAGTCTCATGATGCTAAAGTTGATGTTTGGTGGCAGACATTCCAGACAACAAATGTATGACTAATAGCAATACATGCAGCAGATGCAATAGGGACCATACTAGGGAGGTGGTGGAGGAGGTGGATATCCTGGAGGATACGAACAGATGCAACCACCACCAGGATATGGCGGTGGAAGAGGACAGCTGCCACCAGGTTACCCACCATAGGTAGGATTCTTAGCAAATCAGCCATAATACCAACAGCAGCCATAGCAAATGCCTTAATTCTACCAGCCTGGAGGAGTTGGATATCCTGGGAACTAACCAATGGCTGGAGGTGCGTATAATCAGCCAGGCTACTCTCCTCGATAATGATTGAATGCTGTTGAATATATTTAAGACATATACGAATAAAAGAATTCTGAAATACCCTTGGAGTGTAGATATGTTGATTAATTATTCGTATATTTTTGTTAATATGAATTAAGGATAAATGAATATTAATTCTTATAAAGTAAAATATCAATATATGACACAGAAGGACACCCTTACTGATATTAAGGAAAATATTAACGCAAGCTCGAGTGACAGACTGATAACACTAAGTGAATAGAAATCAGTGATTCAACCTGTAGTCCCTAAACCTACAAAATACGCTTACTTCGTCCTGGGGATACTTCTACTCATTTATATTTCTAATTAGTGGCAGAGATCTGGTAAAATTCTTTTCATCTTATTCAATCACAGCAATCGCTTATGCAAAAGGATACAACTTGAAGCCAGAAGCTGATGATCCCTACTACAATATCAACTTCATTCCTTCGTTCACTGATAACTATGGGTATCTAGCTGGTGCCTCATTTACCATACCAATTTCAATCGTTGGTATTTTCATGGTAATATATAGAATAAACTTGACAGACTATTTTAGGGTGCTTTATCAGATATTGTCAACAGAAAAGTTATGCTTGCCTTTGCTTGCATCCTATGGAGTTTAATGACTTTCTTACAAGGTTTTTGTGAGGCATTCTGGCAATTATGTGTTTGCAGAATATTCCTAGGTATATTCTAAGCTGCATGCAACCCACCTGCTTACTCAATAATGGCTGATTACTTTCATCCACAATACAGAACAACAGCGAATTCAATTTATTCCCTAGGTATTTACTTGGGTGGTGCTCTATCCTCCTTATCAATTGTCATGATTACTGGAGTCGGCTGGAGATGGATGTTTAGAATTATTGGTATCATTGGTATCGGAGCAGGTGTTTTAGGGCTATTTTTAGTAAGAGAACCTCTGAGAGGAGCTTTTGATACTTCTAAAAAGAGCACACTCGTTCCAGAGAAAAAGGTCAAGCCAAGTCCTCTCATTTTATTCTTGAGAGCATCAAAAGAGATATTTGTTAACCCAACATGCAGATGGGTATGTATTGCTGGATCGTTTAGATTCTTTGGAGGATATGCAATTGGCTACTATATGCCATCATATTTCGGGAAGGTCTATCCAGATGAGTCTACTCTATATAGTGTTCTTAACTCATTTGTGGTTAGTGTTGGAGGATTTATCTCAGCTATGTCAGGAGGTATTATTGCTGATAGATACGAAGCTAGATTCCCAATGATCAAGGCATGGGTTTGCATGTAAGTAAAATCCTATTTAATCTTATGCTATTATAGTGCTGGAAGTATACTTGGATGTCCAACTATTGCAGTATGCACATTGTATCAAAAGAACTTTGGAGTTTCAATGTTCTTCTTGTTCCTAGAGTATCTTTTCGCTGAGTGCTGGACTTCATCAGCCATCACAATGCTAATCAACACTATCTCCCCAGAGAACAAAGGATTCGGTAATATATTTCTTCACTAAACTTTTGATTTAGCTGTCTCAGCCTATTTGTTCTTCACCACTTTAGCTGGTACTTTGAGTACATTTTTACTAGGTCAATTCGAGTCAATTTACGAACTAAAGACTCACCCAGAGAGATATGGATACATCCTTTGTGCATTTGTGTTTTTCAGTTATTTAGGAGCTGTTCCCTGGTTTATAATGTCTGGGTTTAGTTACAGAACTCACTTAAAAAAGAAAGAAGAGGAGGCTCTCAATTAATAATGATTCTATAAAGTATGGCTGAATTAGAGTATAGCTAAATTAACATCATCCTAATGAAATATTCTTATTCGATTAACTAAGCAATATTGATTAAAATTATCCTTAACATTTTAATTCTACTCTCGCGGGGTTTTGGGGTTTTGGGGTTTTGGGG